ACTCGTCACTTCTTTCCAAGATGAAGAGGAAGCATTAGTGAGCACCCTCTGGGTTCGTCCATTTAACCAATTACAGATCCACCTCACCGTAGTTTTGCCTAGCCCACATTGGACTAGTTTCCTTGCCAGAAGGTCATGGGGGACCTTGTCGAAGGCCTTACTGAAATCCAGGTACGCTACATCCACGGCATTCCCCGCATCTACCCAGCTTGTAACTCTATCGAAAAAAGAGATCAGATTCGTCTGGCATGACTTGTTTTTGATAAATCCATGTTGACTATTAGCGATGACCGCATTTGTTTCTAAGTGTTTGCAGACCACTTCCTTAAATATCTTTTCCAGAATCTTGCCTGGTATCGACGTGAGGCTGACCGGACGGTAATTGTTTGGGTCATCCTTTTTTTCCCTTCTTGAAGATTGGGACCACATTGGCCCTCCTCCAATCTGCTGGAACTTCTCCCGTTCTCCAAGAACTCTCAAAGATGGTTGCCAATGGTTCCGAAATGACTTCCGCTAGTTCCTTCAATACTCTGGGGTGTAGTTGATCTGCCCCTGGGGACTTGAACTCATTAAGAGCGGCCAGGTATTCCTGGACGACTTCTTTCCCAATTTGGGGTTGGATGTCCTCCAATCCCTCATCCACTCCATCTTGCTGAGGTTGAAGACTCTCTTTTTGTGAGAAGACCGAGGCAAAGAAGGCATTAAGTAGTTCTGCCTTTTCCCTATCCCCTGTCAGCATTGCCCCATCTTCTCCTCGAAGAGGTCCTATCGCCTCCTTGTTTTTCCTTTTTCTACTGACATAAGAATAGAAGCCCTTTTTATTGTTTTTAATGTCCCTGGCAAGTCTGAGCTCGTTTTTTGCTTTAGCCTTCGGACCTTTTCCCTACAGGTGTTGGCTATTTGTTTGAATTCTTCTTTGGTGATTTCTCCCTTTTTCCACTTCTTGTGCATGTCTCTTTTGTGTCTTAGCACAGTTAGAAGTTCTTTGGACATCCATTCTGGCTTCTTTGCACTTGTCCTATTTTTTCTCTTTGTTGGCACGGTTTGCAATTGCGCCTTGAGTATTTCACTCTTGTCCAAAACATCTGGAGGAGCAGTTTGCAAAGCTGCTCTAATATGATGAGTCCACTATACCATCTGGAAAGCTGCAGTTTGTTCTTCTTAGTCAGGAGAAGGGGTTTGACTTTAGATACAAGACTCGTGGATATGATGTCTGTTTCTAAAATGTTCTTTTAAGCTGTTCCCAACCTCAAAGCCACAAGTGCTATTGGTTTGTAATTCCCATCATTGCCAGTCCACATGGCAGATAATCAAGGAAGTTTGACCATAGAAGCTGTCATTCAGTAACATCTGGGGACACAAACAACGTTTTGGTTTTGATCATGTCAAAAGCTAATTGGGGATACAGTTATAATGTATTTTAAAACACAAAGATAAAAACTTGGTCTTATATGACATTTCCTTTAACCAGAAGCTGGCCACTTGGAGTGCCTCTGGTGTCGCTGTGAGAAGGTCTTCCATTGTGCATGTGGCAGGATTGAGACTGCATTGTACTAAGTGGTCTGTGGTTTGCTCTCCTCCACTTTGTAGTCCCATTTCTTAAGGTAAGCTCTGCATCTCGTAGTGCCAGAGCACAGCCTGCTCAGCGCCTTCCAAGTCTCCCAGTCTTCTGTGTGCCCAGGAGGGAGTATCTCATCTAGTACACTGGGTAAAAACTAAAAAGTACCGACCACTATGAAAAAAAATATAGTTGGCCATCCACGGATTCTCCAACCATGGCTTCAACGGCCCTTTGAAAATAACCATAAGGCTGATGTGGCCCTCAATGGAAATGGGTTTAACAGCCCTGTCATAAGGGAACAGAGGTTAAAATCAATAAGCAGAGTGTGAGGCTTTTAGATTAGTTTTTACTGGTGTATAGTATGTATTTAGTAAGGGGGGTAGTATTGGGTTTTTGTGGTTAGGGTGATTGTTTTAGGTTGAGTTCTGTTAGTTGTTGTCATTTAGTTTGTTAAGAAAAATGTTTGCATTGTTTTTATTGAGAGGGACATGATTTTAAAATTTGATTTTCCAATGACTGCAAGTCCCAAATGTCCTGTTTTCAGAGAGGCCTTGTTTGCCAGAAACTGCTGATGCATAGAGAAACCGGCTACAGGAAGAATGATTGTTTCCTGTTGTTCTTTGTTTGGTCAAGGATACAAGATGCAAGACAGTAATGCACCTTCTCACTCCCTATTTCTCACAGGCATGTAGAGAACAACACGCAACTAGATAAGACCAACCTGTGGCTCCATAACTCGGGGTCAGACATTTGAACTGAAGTATTGTTATACATTTCTGCTGTTGAAAAAGATATAAGAGCCAATGAGATTCCACATTTGCTAGTTAAAAACCAATGAAATGATTGATTTTTGAACACCAATCCAACTGTGCCTTCTGCTTTTAGTGAAAGTTATAAATACCAATGCAATCTAACTTTAGGTGCGGCAAAACCCTATGATCACATTATATATGCATTTTGCTGTCTTGCTTTTGGCCACGCAATAAAATAGCATTTTTTCATTTTGAAGATTCAAATTTTGTAGTGTCCTTCCTCACCCTCCCCATTGGAAAAGTGGCTCCTGCTTTTCTGATTCGGATTTAAGGAGTCTTTTGGTTCTTTGCTCCTACATTTTAGGGGGGCTGGGGCTGCTGTTTTGATTTAATGTATCCCTCTATATATGTTTTTTATGGAATCCAAAAGTGGTGTGAATCTCAGGCATTATTCTTTTTGGAATTTTGAAATGCCTATACTTGCATGTTGTTGTTCATTCGTTCAGTCTCTTCCAACTCTTTGTGACCTCATGGACCAGCCCACGCCAGACCTCCCTGTCAGCCATCGCTACCCCCAGCTCCTTCAAGGTCAAGCCAGTCACTTCAAGGATACCAACCATCCATCTTGCCCTTGGTTGGCCTCTCTACCTTTTTCCATTGTCTTCTCTAAGCTTTCCTTTGTTCTCATGATGTGTCCAAAGTACTTCAGTTTTGCCTCTAATATCCTTCCCTCCAATGAGCAGTCGGGCTTTATTTCCTGAAGTATAGACTGGTTGGATCTTCTTGCGGTCCAAGGCACTCTCAGAATTTTCCTCCAACACCACAGTTCAAAAGCACCTATCTTCCTTAGCTCAGCCTTTCTTATGGTCCAGCTCTCACATCCGAAGGTTATTACGGGGAATACCATTATTTTAACTATGTGGACCTTCGTTGCCAGTGTGATGTCTCTACTCTTAATTATTTTATTGAGATGGGTCATTGCTCTCCTCCCAAGAAGTAAGCGTCTCCTGATTTCCTGGCTGCAGTCTGCGTCTGCAGTAATCTTTGTACCTAGAAACACAAAGTCTGTCACTGCCTCCACGTTTTCTCCCTCTATTTCTCAGATGTTGTTGTTGTTCATTCGTTCAGTCGTCTCCGACTCTTCGTGACCTCATGGACCAGCCCACGCCAGAGCTCCCTGTCGGCCGTCACCACCCCCAGCTCCTTCAAGGTCAGTCCAGTCACTTCAAGGATGCCATCCATCCATCTTGCCCTTGGTCGGCCCCTCTTCCTTTTGCCTTCCACTTTCCCCAGCATCATTGTCTTCTCTAGGCTTTGTTGTCTCCTCATGATGTGGCCAAAGTACTTCAACTTTGTCTCTAGTATCCTTCCCTCCAATGAGCAGTCGGGCTTTATTTCCTGGAGGATGGACTGGTTGGATCTTCTCGCAGTCCAAGGCACTCTCAGAACTTTCCTCCAGCACCACAGCTCAAAAGCATCGATCTTCCTTCGCTCAGCCTTCCCTAAGGTCCAGCTCTCACATCCGTAGGTTACCACAGGGAATACCATGGCTTTGACTAGGCGGATCTTTGTTGCCAGTCTGATGTCTCTACTCTTTATCTATTTTATCGAGACTGGACATTGCTCTCCTCCCAAGAAGGAAGCGTCTTCTGATTTTCTGGCCACAGTCTGCATCTGCAGTAATCTTTGCACCTAGAAATACAAAGTCTGTCACGGCCTCCACATTTTCTCCCTCTATTTCCCAGTTGTCAATCATTCTTGTTGCCATAATCTTGGTTTTTTTTTTTTTGATGTTTAGCTGCAACCCAGCTTTTGCGCTTTCTTCTTTCACCTTGATTAGAAGTCTCCTCAGCTCCTCCTCACTTTCGGCCATAAATGTGGTATCATCTGCATATCTAAGGTTGTTAATGTTTCTTCCAGCAATCATATAGGTGTCTATGAAACCTAAATTAATTTTAAATTAATTTTATATTAGACTTGGGTTCCATCTCCAAGATACTTCACTATGTATGAACAACATGCGTGCACAGATATTCCAAAATGATAACCCAATCCAAGTGCAGCAACGCCGCCCTTGTTTTCTATGGACTATTGATTTCTGGAACTTCCGCTTCTAGGGCTCGAGAAGCCAAGCCGCGAGGCCAACCTCAAGCGGAAGTCGTTGAAGACCTGCTAGAACTATAACACGGAAAGGAGAGGTTTATCTGCGCATGCGCGTTAATCGCGTTCACTCGCAGAACTTCCTATCTACTCATCCCTCGAGATCAAAGAGATATAAGCAGTTCTTCGCAGCTCTCACTTCGGGTTCCGATTCGTCATTGTTTTTAGAATGATAAAGAAAGATAAAGACCTTCTAAAACAGGTATGGGCAAGCTTGGGCCCTCCAGGTGTTTTGGACTTCAACTCCCACAATTCCTAACAGCCTACCGGCTGTTAGGAATTGTGGGAGTTGAAGTCCAAAACACCTGGAGGGCCCAAGTTTGCCTATACCTGTTCTAAAAACAATCACAGACCTTGGTAGTTAAAGTGGTGCCAAGCGGCATTCATTCTACAGTGCATTATATAAGTCAGCGGTGGGCTTGATGTCCAACTTTGCGCCATTCCTTCCTACGCAACCTTCTCTGGCTTGGTCCTACCCCGCACATGGAGGGTTCCACCAGCTGCGCTTGGGAACCGGAAGTGTTGTTTGGGAGCGCGTTTGCTTTGCCCCTCCCCTGTGGAAGGAGAAGCAGGAGGAGGCGGGCGCGCGGCGTCATGGCGGCTGTTGGGGAAGCGGCTCCGGCGTTCTCGGCGGGACTCAACCGAAGGAAGGCCTATGGCAAGGTCAGGGCCGGCGAGGGGGAGGCGCGGGGAGGAGGCGAGGGAGCTCCCGAGCCAGGTTGCCCGTGGCTGTCGCTTCCAGCCGGCTCCCGGGAGCTCAAAGGCCCGGCAACCGTCGCGGGCTTGCTTGGCTTCTGAGAAGAGGGCGGTTTCCTTCGTGTGAAGAAGCACACTCTCACACAAGGGCAGGAAAGGCCGCCCTTAGTGCTTCCTATGCCGTCAATCATTGGGACAGCGGAACTGCTTTCTTCAATGCCGGTTTCAAACTGCCTTAAACGATCAGTGTAAATGGGGCCTACCTCCAGTGTCATATAATCCATGGGCCAACAGGACACAGACTGAAAGCAGCTCAGAGTCAAACCCTTAATTAGACATATTCACTTCAGAGAGTATATGTCTAATTAAGGCCTGATTAAAGTGATACGTCTTTGAGACTTTTTTTAAGTTTCCTCAATTATGGACAGTTTCTGAATTCAGATTGTCTCATTTGACCTGGATTATATTTATTATTTTATTTATTTACTTTGCTTGTATACCGCAGTTTCTCAGCCCGTAGGCGACTCAACGCGGTTCACAACAAGAGCAAAAAGTCATAACAACATACAATTTAAAAACCATTAACAGCATAGTATACAAAGTAATGACACATCAATAACAACACATTAACGTCTCGTAACGTTAATGTGTAGGGCAGTGTAGATTCGTATAATCCAGTTCAAAGCAGATAATCTGGATCCAGGAACTGGGATTATATGACACCTTCCAGACAGGTCCTCTATCTCAGGATCTGATCCCAGGTTTTGTGTTTATCCCAGATTATCCGTCAGTGTGGACTCATATATTCCAGTTTAAAGCAGAAAACCTGGGCTATAGAGTCTGTCTGGAAGAGCCCTTAGTTCAGCAGTTCTCAACCTGTGGGTCCCCAGATGTTTTGGCCTTCAACTTCCAGAAATCCTAACAGCTGGTAAACTGGCTGGGATTTCTGGGAGTTGTAGGCCAAAACACTTGGGGACCCACAGGTTGAGAACCACTGCCTTAGTTTGTCTTGAGGACCATAGTGCAGAAAATCCCACATTTTTCTTGTTTTGGAAGGAATGGAAGAGAGAGGACCCTTCCACACAGCCAGATAACTCAGAGTATCAAGGCACAAAATCCCATAATATCTGCTTTGAACTGGGATATCTGAGTCCATACTGCTATATATTCCAGTTCAAAGCAGATAATCTGGGAATTTATTCAGCTGTGTGAGGTTGGCCTCGCGGCTTGGCTTCTCAAGCCCTAGAAGCGGAAGTTCCAGAAATCAATAGTCCATAGAAAGGGGCCAGAGAGAGAATAATTTGTGACCTGAAGTTTTAAGCAGTATATTAAGGATTATAATATTGATTGTAAAAGGCAGAAAATCTTGCATTTCCTTCAGTGCAGAGAGCTACTTAAGCAGTTTATTTAGGACCATATCAACAATGACAAAAGAAAGACAATCCTGGATTTTGTGGGAGGGAAATAATTTGGGGTCTGCAGTTTTTAAGATTTTTAAAACGACAATATTCATGATAAAAAGGCATTTCCCTCTGTATTTCCTGTTTTTACGATGGGGGAGAGAGAAAACAATTTGGGATCAGTTGTTTTTAAGATGTGTGCTTTTGAACAATAATATTAAGGATAAAAAGGCAGAAAATCCTGCAGCCCTAAGGGATGCATGGAACAGATAAAAGTGTCAAGGATCCTTGTTGTTCGTAATGTTGTTACAATACTGTTTCCCATTTAGGTGATTTTTAATTAGACATGTTTTTATTTGGCTACCTAAATATATACGTCTAGCAGAGGGAATCATTTTTACTACTTTTTCCAGAAAGCTCAAGGTCCTGCCTCTCTCCATGATTTATTATTACAGCAATTGTGTCAGGTATTAGAAATATGTAAACTTTGCCACACATACACTGTTGAATAACACAATTTACTTGGTGGGTTTGGGGAATAGGAAACATTTGGCTCCCTGGGCCTTATTTGTATGCAAGACCCACCTGCCCTAGTCAGTGTGGTAAATGGTGGGTGATGATGAAGTTGCAGTCATCTGGGAGGGCGCAGGCATTATATCTTAACTCGTGATGTAGTCAATTGCAAGAGTGTCCCTTGTATGTATTTCCTGTCATTAAATCATAATTGGGAAATAAATCAGATTTGATGATAGAGTGAATAAGGATATGTAAAACGGCTTTATTGGCTTGAAAATCAGTAAGTAGTAGTTTTTCAGAAACTGCACAAAGTAGTTTTCTTGAGTTATCAGTACACACCGTTGCTGTGAAACATTTTTTCAGTTACATAACTAAAGACTTTCTTAACCTACTTGTCTGTCATACACTGCTTTTACTGGGTGTGAGACTAAATTTTATGGGTAGAACCAAAATATATATTGCAATACAGGGCCAGAACTACACCTGATAATGACTGGGGTTTGTTTGTTTTTTCCTTACCTTTTGCTTTTCTTTCCCTTCCCCTTCTCAAATGAGTGCTACTCAGATTAGTTGATGGCTTTGTCTGTTTAGCTTCTAAATACAGTTCCACTTGCCCCTTCAAAAGTATTGTTACAAATTGACAGTGTTGTAGCTGGAACATGAAAGAAGAAAAGTAGCAGCAGAAAAGTTAGTGAAGGGCTCATAGGTGAAGGAGGAGGGCTGAAGCACATGACAGCTAATCCTAGTTCAGAGGACAGGAAGAGGATTCTGTGAGTGAAAGAATTTTTAAATAATTCATTGGTGGCAAATGGAGGAAGACAGTTGTGAGAGTTAGGGGAGAAAATATGTATTGAGTGTGGAATGAGTGAAAGAAAAAACAATCTGACATACAGTTATGATTATATTTTTAGAACATGATAAAGTAACAACCATATTATATATTACAAAAATAAAATTCAGCTACTAATTACTGTGTTTAAACCTGAATCTACCTAGTATTGGAATAATCAGAGGGTATGCAAACCTAATGAAAATATCTAGGACTATTTGGTATTCAAAATAGTAGACATTAGCCTATATTTCAAGATTGTAGTGGAGTACCCATACATCTTTCCAATTAAAGGTAAAATGGCAATGTAAATCGGTATAGACCACATCTCTACAAACTAAAAAAAAAAATCCAAACTGGAATATGGGGGAGTAACATGTCTGTTCTCAGTAATAGAAAGTATGGTCTAGGAATGTGCTCCCCTCCCCTTCCCTTCCCTTCTGCTCTGTTTTCTGTTGTGGCCAGTAAAGCAGCAGCTTCTCTCTTTTATTCTTTCCAGAAACAGCAGCAGTTGTTTCTTACTTTCTCATCAACACCACTGGCCATATTTTTATTGGAACATCAATAGTTTATCTTTCTTTACACCTACATGAAATTGATGTGGCATCATTAACATGTCTTATTCTTAGTCACTATCATACTTGACTTTTATCGCATTCAACAAGCTTAAGATTCTACAACATTCACTGTTGTAAAATATTGCCAGTGATACCAGTTTCAATGTTCCTGTCATTTTAAAATAGGTCTTAGAATAGATACATTTTGTACAGCTGTTTTCTATTCCAGCTAGATTTAGATTGCTAATAGGTCTGCAGGTCTTGAAACTAGAAAGCTCTTGGTTAAATTTTGTTAGCAGTTGACATGACTGCCTTCTGCTTGTCTTGATCCAATCTGTCAGAATTTGTCACTTATAAATATAAAAAAAACTTGTGCCGAGCTGCGGAAATAAAACCTTTTTTTTCAGAATGTAGAACATTTATTGAGAAGGCTGGAATCTCTGCTGTTCTTTGTGACAGACTAGTGAATGAAAAATAAAGTTTCAGATGAGAAATTTATTTATTTATGACATTTCTTTCCCGCTTTTCTCAACCCCAGAGGGGACTCAAGTTGGCTTTACACACAGGCAACTATTCAATGGTTTAAAACAATGTACAATTAAACTAAACATTTTAAAGTAGAATTATAAAATGCTTTAAAACAGGCAATAATAAATATGACAATATTAATATATTTCCTCAAAATCCATTTTAAAAACCAAAGTAAATGAAATAGGTTTTATTTAGGATTTTGAGGAGCCCTATATCTCTTGAATTTAAAGCTCTTCTAGACATATAAGAGACATCAAATGCAATTCAAGAAGCTGTAGCTGAAAAGGAAATTTAGTACAGACTTATACATGTATAGGAGCACTGATATATGCTCATTCTTCCTTTGGTTTCTGACTTAAGAAATTTGAAATACCCATTAATAGTTGTCATAGAACTAGTTTTTTCAAGAACTCCACTAACAATTTGTTTTGAATAAAACTTTGGCCTTTCAAAAAACAACATATATGGATGTGTACAATTCTAGTTTGTGGGGGGAAAGGCTATAGGTTTAGATAATTTTGCTTAATGGCTTGCTGCAAATTGCTGGCTTCATCAACTCATGCTTGGATAGTAACGTTTTGTGGATTGCTTTTTAAGAATTGCTAATTCAAATGGACTTAAGGCTTACTGCTCTTCTCCTGTTTGTGATGCAGAATGAAAATTATCTGAAAACTCATGCCTAGCACTCATAATAGTCCTTTGCATTTTACACTGGCATATTCAGCAAAGTATTATGAGATGTCTGTTCCCACTAAAGAAGGATATTTTGCAGTTGCTGCCATACACACCCATTCGACTATAAATTGGATACTGAGAGGCGGAGCTTGGAGTCCTTTCCCCTGGATATCTATCAGTTTACATTTCAGATTATTACAATACTGTCATGTTTTGTCTTACATGTAAGTACAAGGCTGATTTTGTAACAATTAAAACTATTCAGGACCTGGTAACAGCTTCACCTTATAAGGTTAAACAAATAAGATTTCCTTTGTTGGAGGAAATCCCTAGATTCTTAATGCCAAGAACCAATGTAGTGAAAATATCCATCAGTGCCTTAACAATTTTAGTAGTAAGCATTCTTAAGTATTCAAGAAAGTGGAAGGTTTGAGTCATTATAGCAATTTAAATAAGCCTGCACAACCTGTTGTCCCCCAGGTGTTTTGAACCTCAACCCCCAGAATTCCTGAACAAGCTTGCTGGGGCTTCTGATGGCTTGATTCCCAAACACCTGGAGGACCACAGGTGCACTAAAACAACTGGGAGCAAGATTAATTCTAAACACTTCTAGATTTTAGTTCAAAATTCTACCAGCCTTAGGTTTCATATTCACTGTCAGAAATGTCACACCCCAAATCATGGAAGGATCACATAGGGCCCTTCCACACAGCTATTTAACCCTGAATATCAAGTCAGATAATCCACAATATCTGCTTTCAACTGGATTATCTGAGTCCACATTACTATATAATCCAGTTCAATGTAGATTTTATACAGGCGTGTGGAAGGGGCCAAAAGTCTACTATTTAAAAAGGGAATTGCTATTCCTGAAGGTTTCTGGGAATAGCAGTTTACCTCTTGGGAGAGAATGGGGACAGAAAAGGAAATGTGAGGCTGACCAAATAAAGTTGTGTGTCACATTCAGCTCCAGGTCAGCTCTTTCTCCATTATGAGATAAAGACGAAAGTTGCCAGCAAAAAAAAGAATGTTCATTGTATTTCAGCAGCATCCCTGAAAAAGTAATCAATTTAGGGAACATATTTCTTAAAACTTAATGTGAGCATTATTTTTTTGTTTTGAATCTGGTTGAAAAGAAAGGTATACAGCATGAATCTCACTTCCTTCACTGCTTTCTCCAGGCTAATCCTCGTAACTGCTGCTAAAGACGACAAAGACAAAACGTAGACAAATAAATTTTACTGGTCAAGTAAAATGGATCCGTGTTCAGTTGGAAATCAGCTGCAAGCTAGCAGTGATTGCCATAAAACATTCTTTACCTCTCAAACTGGCTTCAAGAATAAACAAGATTTTTCATCAACTGATCTAGTACTCCTTCAGCTTAGAACTGGGATAACCTTTACAGAGAACAACACGATCTGTTTCCATCATGCTAAAGTTTACCTTGATAGATATGAAGACTTGCAAAAGTCATGTTGTGATCCCTTTAATATACACAAAAAAATCTCAAGGAAAAACTTGCATGCAATTGACTTAAATGATGCTACTTTTCTAAGTGCCAAGTTTGGACGGCAGTTTATACCTGGCTGGAAGCTTTGTCCAAAATGTACACAGATAATAAATGGAAATGCAGAGGTTGATTCTGAAGACCGCCAGCAAAGAAGACATGATTCAGACGTATGTATATGGGACCTTTTTTCACCTATCTGAATATTGGCCTAAGATCATCAAACCTGTGCATACTTACTTGAGAATAAGCTCATTTGACAAAGCTGATACTTACTTTTAAGTAAGTGTGCCTATGGATTGTGCTGCAAAAAAGTAGAGCATCGCTAAAGCATTATGTTGAAATAAAAAAAAGTTAAGTAGTAGTGACATATACATATGTTCATCTCTCTAAGACAAAGGACATGAAGAATATGTATGTTTAAAACAACCATCAAAGATGAAATCCTGCAAATGATCCTTTCATATAACTTCACAACATCTCAAATGCAATAATTGTCAGAGAAGAATTAGTATATTTAGTGGCAAATGTCTTACAATATGTTACGCATGTCTGAATCAGCCTTAAGCAAGGCTAATGGTTTGTTTGTTTTTTATGGAAGACAGACAAGGACTTGACATGAGACTAAGGAGACTGTATCCATGTTCAGACAGTTATATCTCAGTTTAATAATCTATATGCACAGTTTTGTCTGTGCATGCTGCTCCTTTGTTTGAGCTTGCAAACAAATCAGGAAGTCTTCACTTAACTGCAGTTTTGTCTTTTTTCAAAACCAAGAAGCTGGTTAATTTTAAATTAGCTTTGTTTTACTATCTTAGTTTGTTCCAACAGTATTCACTACATTTTCTGCGTTTAGATGAAATAGAAATGAATGACATACTAAGTATTTTCAGGAATGTTCAGCTACTCGTTGTATGCCTATCTTAATTCCTTTAAACAGACATGATCAACCAAACACTATGGGTAGAAACAATCCATAGCAATGCAGAGAACTGCATAGCACTACGGACAATTTCACCTTGCCTTGTGAAAACAACGATGCTTAATAAGCACATTTAGAAGCTTGAAGTTGATAAAACAAATTGTACTAGTTCAAACTGTAGAGGCAGGAAAACGTTTAAAAATTCCCATGTGTCAAATGCTCTCTGCAAGTATAGAGAATATCAGAAAGAAGATTTCAAGCCTTGCAGCACCTTGGTGTCTTAGTGTTCTGTTGCAAGGTATATTTCAGAAACGAGAGCATTTAGAAACACAATCTACCACTAAAGTTAGTGGCTCATCATCATTGTTATAAGATTTGAAAGTGGGGGGAAACTCTTAAAAGCAAGGAACACGGTGGCAGAAGACTTACATCTTTGAATCTGAAGTTATTTTCCAGTGTTGCAGAGTTCAGTTTTCACAGACTAAATATATTGAAAATATACAAGTTACATTAGAGGAAGAGGAAGTAAAGTATTGTATTTTACTTATTAGTGGTTCTGAATTTCCTTTTCTAATTAACGAGTACGTAGGATATAATAATTCCCCCAAAATAATCAGTTCCATAAAAAACTCCTGGGGGGAGCATTCTTTGCCAGCATTACTCCTTTAAACCCTTTTATGAACAACTTAGAGGCATAAATTAATAATCTCCTGAACAGAAAAAATAAGAGTGTGCATGAAAGAGAAAGTGCTATCTAATTGCATCTTTGTACCACATTACTGTATGTAGGGACTGTTTATTTATATTTGTATAGAGCCCAATGTTCATATACTTTGATCTAGTATTTCATGACAGATCCCCAATTTATGTCACTTCACCACATAATTCATGTGCTCTGCAGCTGAAAGTAATTTCATTTAGTAAGAGTTAGAACAACATGGGCTAAGCTTTGGCCTTCCCTTTTTTGTGTTATGTCACAACTTAATTAGCAGTGGTTAACATAGTAAGTGTTGTTGTTTCTGGTTCAAATGTATTTGTGTCTATATTTGTTCAGGGGCGTACAGCTAAAGCCTTGAAATCCTTACAGTTTGCTAATCCAGGACGACATACTGGATTTGCTCCAGAAGCAAACAAAAGAGAAAAAAGAAGACTCCAAGCAAAAAGCACATCCGTTAATTCAGATAGGTATGTTGGGTTTTTTTTTTTCCATTACTTACATTTGCCCTTGCTTTCATGTATTCCAGATTTGCTTGAAGAGACAAAATCTTTCCTTTTCCATTTGAGTGCATGGAAAAACTGATGAAAACAAAATGACATTGTATCACCACTTACAGCCTCAAAACATTTTACATATATTATTTCAAATATATATTTCACAGAACAGCTACAATATACCTAATTCAGTTTTCTATCTTAAAATGGGTAATAAATAAATCCGTTTTGCAACTTGGATAAATTACACAATTTATGGTAGTTTCACACAAGTCATAGCAGTGAAGTTGATACTAGTTGGTTTTTCCCCAGAGATAACAGAATAAACCTTCTTTCAACCTCTGGAAACTGCAGTAATATTAGATGAACAAAGGTGAACAAGGAGTGAAGTTTATTCACAATGATTTGATTAAACAATAGGATTATTAACACATCTGAATAAGTGAAGTGTTTTCTGCTATTACTGGGCTTCTAATGACTTACTTCAAGTAATATTGCCTTAACCAAAACAGATTCCACGCTTAACTGCTCTTGTTCACCATAATTACGAGTTTTGTCCTCTCAGAAGAAATGACTGCATTGTCAAACATAGAAACAATGCTTGCATCTCTCTTTCCCTCTTCTCTCCTCAAGATATTGACAATTAAACTAGGGGCTCTTTCACACAGCCCTATATCCCAGAATATCAAGGCAGAAAATCCCACATTATCTGACTGTGGACTCAGATAACCCAGTTCAAAGCAGATATTGTGGGATTTTCTACCTTGATATTCTGGGATATAGGGCTACGTGGAAGGGCCCCATATTTTATTAATATGAATCGCTTAGTCCCAAACCACTATAAGGGGGGGGGGGGGGGAATGCCTTTTAAGATTGGTTCTAGCTGAATAATTAAATGAATTTAATAATACAAGAGCATCAAAATATTTGCTTGATAGTCTTTCTGGATTAACTGAACTGAATTTTAAATGTGTTTAGGATTACAGCCAGAAGACTTGTGTTTTGATTTTATCTTAAAAGATTTAACAGGAAGACAGACCTTTGATTTGAATTGTTTTATACTCAACAAACACAGAAAATATATGTAATTTCTTTATATTTATTTACATTACTCCTCATATTTGCATATGGGTCTATGTGAAAGAAGAAACATGGGTTCATGATGCAGTGCAAAATATTTGGTATATAGTATATTGATCCATATAATGAAACAATTCCCTATACTACAGAAGCCACATGAAAGAAAAGCAGGTGTATTCATTGGAGAGACTCCATAGTACTTGTACAAAAATAGCTTATATGAACATTAACATCTATGTAGACTCACATCTTGGAGACATTTATAAGAGATGTAATATATGTCTGTTTTTTAGTTTTTATCCCCTATTACTTTTGATATAAGACAACTAGACAAAGTGAATTACCGTCTCAGAAGTTTTAAGCAGATTATCATTCAGGAAAATAAAGAGTCAAAACCCTCAGATTGCTCTTAATTGTACCTTCTTTCTTCTTCAGGCAGGTAATACCCACAAAGAGCAAAGTGTATGATAGCCAAGGATTCCTGATTTATAGTGGGATAGACCTTTGTGACTGTCTCGATGAAGATTGCCTAGGATGTTTTTATGCCTGTCCAAAGTGTGGCTCCAGCAAGTGTGGACCTGAATGCCGCTGTGATCGGAAGTGGCTATATGAACAAATCGAGATTGAAGGAGGAGAAATTATACGGAATAAGAAAACAGGATAGCTTGCAAATTTCATCTGAGTTTGATGGAACAATATTACATAGGTTTTTGCATGTAAAAATACACTGAAGGTGTTTAGAGTTCCAGTTATATCAACACTCAGGGTCAGAGTTAACTGTACCTATCTAAAGAGAAAGAAAACTAGATAAAAGATTATTCATGGACAAGTACATTGATAAGAGTAGTACAGTATTAGCCGTTCTTGACCTAGACTCTGTAGAGCAGACTTTTTTCCACACATCTCCCTTCCTTTGTAAGAAAAATCTGAGAACACCATATTCAAAAATGTGCTGGCTATTTTATCAGCCATAAATAGTGTTGCAAATTGTAGACTGGTAATATGGTCATGCTGTTGCTTCATGGGCAGAAGATAAGAATATAAAATTGTTAAGATAATAGGATCTTTTTTCAGGAAGAAATACAATAATTGACCTCTTTTGGAAGCAAAATATTTGCATGTGTTAATCTGCAAGAGAATTAACTCTGTCCTGTGCTTTCAACAGTATGTTATTGTTTGCTGTAAGTCCCATCCCGTCCCGTCCCGTCCCCCCCCCCCCAGGGTGTGTGTGTGAAAGTGCCAAGGATATAAACTCAACCAGCATTTCTGTTACAGATTTTTTGTGGAAATTACAGTTAAGTCTAGGGTGAAATATTAATCTCTACTTTTGAGAAATATGTGTGTTACTTACATGTAAAAGCACATTTTAGAAGGGGAGGTCTTCTAAACTAACTGTTATAACTTATACTTTTCACAAGGGCAAAAACAATGTACCTTTCCATAGAGTTTATTCAATTGCTATTAAGTTGCATCTTCCTTGCTAGGCGCCCACATTCAGAGGTTAAGAGTTTCAAAAGTGGCAGGGGCACATTGTCGACTGTGAATAAGAGTTCTCATTTGTTTGTATGATTGCTGTATGCCTTTGAAATTATTGTTGGCATATAATGTATAGTTTGCTTTAAAGATTATTCTGGTGCTTGATGTGACTTTGCCCATGACTGTGGCTCCAGCCCAAGAATGTATCCAGTTACTATTACACACCTAGGAAAGCAAAAGCATCATACATAACAAACAAGTATTAACACTAGTGGTGTTTTGCCTCTGAAAAGGAAGGGCAGTGAGATCGAATCCCTTGCCTATATCATACAGTTCCATAGATGTTCTGATTTGCACATGGCAAGGTATACCTTGTCTGCCATGGAAATGTTTTCTTGATGTGCATGAACTCTGCAAACACTGGAGGATATATGTAAAGTAAGTATTCTCTTATTTTATGTAGAAACCACTTTTCTGTCAACTATAACAAAATGTGATCAATCAGTACTAAAATTCATTTGCTCTTGGATGTATTTTAAATAAATAAAGTATTACAATTCCTTGGCTCAAATTATTTCATATCTGACTGAAGCAGGCCACAGCCACTGCAAAATTGTTTCATAAAAAGTTCACAGTATGCATGCTTATTAAATTTTTAAACAGCTCAGCTTGGCATCTCATTTTAATAAAGAGAACATTTTGCTTCCTATCGAAATTGATCCAAAAGCCATAATAATACTGTTACTGGGACCAACCAAAATGTCACATATTCATTACTGCTTTTGGATTTTTTTCTCCAATAGACAATCACAGCTACCTGCAATTTATGTATATCCAGATCACTTGCAGGCTTAGTTTTTCCAGATGTTTAAATGAGTTTAAACCATTGATTCTAAAACTGCTCCTCCAGATGTTTGGACTTCAGCTCTCACAATTTCTAATAGCTGGTAAATTGGCTGGTATTTCTGGGAGCTGAAATCTAAAACACCTGGAGGAGCAGAGGTTGAGAAACACTGATTTAGAATGTTTTAACAAAACTTTGCTTGTGCTCATGAATTTCAAATAGTATGCAACAGAGGTCTTATAGCTATGTACAAAAATGCCCATCATTGAAACCTCAAAGGCTGCTTAATTGTTGGCAAGATAGTTGAACAGATGTAATTTTACTCTCCCTGGGAAGGAGCAAAAGCAAGAGTGTGATAAAGTATTTAAAGGAATAATTTTAGTTCTTTGAAAATCGTTAAACACTTAATTACCAAATGCCTGTTTGCAAGTTATACTTTGTGATACATTATAAAGTCCTCTTGAGCCTATTTCTTTGTGTTTATGTTGACATCTATGGTTGTTAGTGATTGAAAATTAATTCAAATAGTCTTCATAAATTTGTTGCATAAATTTACTTTAAATGCTGTATTCTGCCATCAATTGTAACACAGTCAAAGGAATGTTTAACATGTCTTAATATTTGACTCCTGTCTAAAATTAATAAAATAGGTTGCATTCGTATACACACCTCTGAGAGTACGTTCTGTGATGGTGGATAATAGAGAAATGATATGTTCAGTGGTAGCAATGATTCCCAACTTTGGTTTTCCAGGAGCCTTAACTGACTTTGCCAAAAGGTGTACTGAGAACTTAAGTTTAACACATCTGGAGGACCAAAATTTAGAATCGTGATATAGAGAAAACCTGCTCTACTAACATGAAATAATTTGTTGGACATACTTGGAAACAGGCAATATCAAGTAAAAGCCAGAATATTTTTATTTAACCAGTCTTCAAGAAGAGTAAAGATTAATATATTTATGCCATTTATCTGATTAATGTAGTGCTTATTATTCCTCATATTTTTAATCTGACTGAAGTTTATCCTGATACATCTTTTTTCTGATCCTACCTCATGTTGGTGGTAAAAGGAAAGTAATGGAGATATTATATATTTTATATATGATGCACAAGATAACTAGGTCATCAACCCCAGGAAGGTTCAGAAAGATTTGGGGGGATTTGTAAAAGTTTTAACAAAAACTTCCTCCAAAAAGCCACAACAGCAGTCCCCTTGAATGTCTTAACAGTGTGTCTATATGACACACAATTAACCACATAACTTCAACTTAGCACAGATTTATTCTCTTACTTTAGTCCTCTTTGCAGATTCAATAATTTCCTTTATTATTGGACTCACTAAATGACTGGCTGCTAAGCTTTCTGATGCTGAACACTGCATTCTGAGAAATGTAGTTTAGGGCCAAGCCTTTTTCTCTGCCACATGGACCCTTGCCTTCCCAAACTACTTTTCCCAGAATGTGTTCTCAGTCTCCTACCCAACTCTGCTAGTCCCGTCCCCAGCTGCACTTCCTTATGGTGACCAGCAGCCTCCGTCTTAAAAACACACAATGCCCCCTTGACTTTACCAAAGTTGCTGAATGCTTATTCTGGAAATTAAACTGACTTTGAGAGGCATCTGAATATTACAGAATCTTTAAAAAAATGATTGGTGATTTTCAATTTTAAAACCCCTTCCTGCATGTTTCTAATACCAATTTGTATGCACGAATTTAATAAATTTCATACAACTTACAAGGAGTAACAATTTTGCACATCCCTTGCATCATGCCATATTGATTTTAGTGGATGAGAGATATTGCACCATTGTACATGATGTGGTTTACTTCTGAACAAAAAACATGAATAGGATTTTATTTTTAAAGATGCCTCCAGTTGGACTAATTTCAGTGGGTAAAAGGTCCAATTTCAGTAGAAATGCTACAACTAATAATTGATGTGCCGTCGCGCCTGGGGCTATAGAGAAAGAGGCATGGACGTGACTTCTTTCCCCAGGGGATTGCTTCTTGCCCTCCTTTAGGGAAACTGGAACTCCCAAGGACCAGAACACAACAGTTAACTCGAAATGGTGTTTATTGTTGACAATTAGTTCTTTCTTTGACACAAACGTGATGTTTCAACAGGGAAAAATGCTTTACAAACTCTAAGTCCAGGGTCCTAGGAGTAATAAGCTGAGAAGCTTTTCCTGTTCCCTCTCTCTCAATGGTTGTGGATGCCGGAGCAAACCACAACCCCAGTTCAGTGGCCTAAGTTGAAGGACAAGACCTTCCTATGGTGCCAAAGAACCGGTGTGAAGGCGCCTGAGATCTTCACAATGTCGTTCAGGGGGTTTGAACATAAAGTATAAGACTCAGGGGTAAAAACCTAAGAGTTGGTAGTAAAAAATGCCTTGACCAGGGGCTTTTGGGCCAAGCTTTTGGACACGTCCATCCAATGAGTCTTTTACTGAGGTAAAAAAGGTGAGGGAGAAACCTTCCCTTTCTCCCTTGGAAGGGGCGGAGCCTAAACAACTGAACTGGGGAAACAAACCAATTGGTGCACAACAACAATAAATTGACAGCTATAGTAACCAATGAAATTTAACTATACATATACAAGGTAGACAGGAATAAAATGGCAGTTTAAATCCTGCAACTAACAGCTCTAAATATATGAGGCGCCACACGCGCCGTCACACTCCCGGCCTAGATTTCCGGACTTTCGGATATCTAAACAAAATAAAGTTAAACACCTTTAACTATTATAACTTTAAGACTGTATGTCTTGCAAAAATATCAGGTTTTTTAAACACAGGATCTAATCTTTGCTCTCTTTAGTCTACCTTCAACCCTAAGGAGACCCTCATTGTCCAGGAAGGGGTTCAAGTCCTTTAACAACTATTTTTGGGCAAGGCAACCTTTTTGTTGGAAACAACCTTAACTTGGGCCTTGCGCACTCTATTGTCCGAGCTAGGATATAACTTAGAAACAAAACCCTTAGCCCATTGGTATCTGGGAGTGTCTTTTTCTTTTAAGTTATTTCTTCTGAGAAACAATGTCTTTGAGTGGATCTCAGGATGACTGTTGAGGCTTTAGAAAGATATTGGGGCTGAATTGCACCAATGTTTTGCTGAATTGCGCCAATGTTTTTGGTAGTGACACTTCTTCAATGTTGGGGACAAGAGAAGGCTCATCCATGTCTTTAGTGAGGTCTTCCTGCTCTTCTTCACGGTAACCATGCTTGGATTTGGTGTAAGGAATAGAAGGCCCTTTCTCGGCATTCTTCTTTTTAGCTTCTGGAGTTGGTGAAGGGGAGGGAGAACGCTTCCTTTTCTTATAGTTCCGTCCCTTCTTGTCCTGCCGGTCTGAATCAGGGCTGTTAACCTCATCAGTGAGAGTTTTGGCAGATATTTTCTTCCTACGTGAGACAGGACTCTTCTCATCATTGACTTGCCCTTGAAGCATGTAGTATTCTCCCATTTCATCAGGCGGCCATTTGTACTCTATCAGGTTTTCTGCTGGAAAGTAGCTAAAGCTAAGATCTTGGCTTGAAGTTTCACAACTTCGTGAACTGTCCCCTGAGCCCATTCGTCGTCTTTTAGATGGTTGGCTGCCATCGTTTGAATTTTCTTCAGTAACATCCTTGAGGGACTGGGCTCCAGGTGTGGCCGGGTCGCTGTCACACACCCGTGGGGACAGAACGGCCGTCATCACCGCCGACGGCTGTGGCGAGAAAGGTCCACCATCGGCCTCTTCCTTCTCCTCCGCACACGCAGTGGCTGGTTCGGCATAGTTGCTGCTGAAGAGGTCTTCTACAAACTGGGTGATCTGGGTCTTCACCTTTGGATCCTTCAGCATCCTCCTTCTTAAGGACAGGAGACGATGAAGGGAAACATCTCTGTTGTTGGGTAGAGATGGTCTTTCCGGCTTGAAAGGTAAAGGTGCTATCCAATTACCTTGGAGGTCTTGAGTGACTTGGTGGTTCATCATCTCAAGGAACTTCTGTTCATCTTTAGAGAAGGCTGTTTGCTCATCTCTCTCTGTGACTTCGAAGATGGAAGAATAATCAGGCATTACTCCCTGGCAACAAACTGTGATGTGGCTGGCACATCCTTGCATTAGTGAAGGTCTTTTAGTGACAGGCTGGAACATCTTGTTCAGGCAGACTGGGCCTAACACCGTCCATCCTAAAGGCAACTTCTGGGCAATGGGTGATCCCTTAGGACCTTCAATCTGTTTGCTAATACGGAACAGTATGGGGCAATCTGCGCCGATAAGCGTGACGATGTCTGTTTCCAAGTCTAGAGCTGGAATTAGATCTTGGATGCCTTTGAGATGAGGATGGGCTTGAACCACCTCCTTTGTGGCTATTTGTTCTTTGTTCCTGGGGATCAGGCTGCATTCTATAAGGTCAGGAAGTTCGTAACTGGCCTTTTGTCCAAAGGGTGAAATTTTGAACCTAGTTGCAACTCTGCCACACATCTTGTTCCTTCCAGAGCAAGTGGATATGGTGTATTGCACTGTCTTGGTGTAAAGGTCGAACATGTCGAAGAACTCGGGGGTTGCAAGCGATGCATCACTTTGGGCATCCAGGGCGATGTAGACCTTTTTCCTATTCCACGGCTGCTTGTCTGGATACACTTCTGCCAGGCAGATTGGATGACAAATCCTGGGCTTGATGTTATTTTGGCAAAGCTTGGTACAGGCAACGGCAGGAGCCTTGAGGGCTACTTGAGGTTCTGTAGGCTTTTGGTCCTTCACTTCTTTGGTCTCTTCTTTGACAGGGGACTTTGACTTGGCTTTGAATTGAGGGGAATCAAAATTGTGCATTGCGGAGCAATGCTTGAGGCTGTTGCAATGTTGACTTTTCACCTTTTCTTTACAGTCTTTGGAGAAGTGAATAGTGGAGCCGCAACATCTGAAGCACACCTTGGCCTTTTGAACTATTTGAAGTCGCTCTTTATAGGGCTTCTTCGCGAACTCTCTGCATTCAGCTAGGCTGTGTGGCCTCTGATGAATGGGACAGGTGATGCTGCTGTTGCCAACTGGTTGAACTGAAGATGGAGGAGTAGTGTCTGTCATCTTGACACTCAAGTTCCTTTTAAGTTCTTTGCCCTGCACTTTATCTTCTTTGGAGGTCTTTTCAGGCTTTAGGCCTTGGTACAAAGCGGGAAGACCTGTTTGAGGGTCATTCCTCTCACGGGCTGCTCTGGTGACAAAATCCACCAAAAAGTTGAAGGGCGGGTATACATTTGCATTTGCCTCCTTGTACTTGAACACCTCTTTCCCCCAAGCTTCTCGAAGGGGAAAGGGAAGTTTGCAGAGAATGGCACTCTGCGACGTGTGCTGATCCAGACATGCCAATCCTGGCAGCTCTGGATTTCCTTTGGCTGAAGCTAGCTCTAACAAAAGATCACTGAAGTCCCAAAGCTGTTTGTAATCTTTCATCTTCAACGATGGGAACCTGTTGAGTCGATCCATGAGGGACGCTTCTATCTCAGTGCTCGAACCGTAGCGCTGGTCCAAGCGAGACCACGCTGTGGACAATGCTTTTTGAGGGTCTGACACGTGAGCAGCATAGAGCCTCTTTACTTGCTCGGCTGAGCTGGATCCAAGCCACGCCATAAGAAGAGACAATTCTTCATCTGCTTCTAATTTGAAATCTCGGATGGCCCTCTTGAAGG